TATTATTTTCTTAATTTTCCTATAAACCTCAAACTGTTCTAAAAAATAAAGTCTATTTTACATTTTTTAATACTTGACAAGATGTAGTTTTTAAGATGTTAGTTACAAAGTAGAATCCGAAACAGTGTCAGTATACTTTCTGAACTGTTAAATTTCATTAGTCATTTTTGCATTTTAAGTGGATTTTTTTATCATGTATGATTTTGTAAGAGCATGCATTTGGTTACTGGAAAATAGTGGTTCAGTAAGTTAGACCTTAAATATTGGCCCACTTGATTAAACAATTACCAAAATACTTAGCTAGAGGTAGTGGTATACACCTGTAATCTCAGCACTCAGGAGGCTGAGGCAGAAGGATCTAGAGTTCTAGGCCAGCCAGGGCTACATTGCGAGACCCCATCTGAAAACAAAGCAAAGCAAAGCAAAGGGAAACAAAACAAAACAAAAACTTACAACAACACTGCATTTGTTAATATCATCAACAATCTCAACAGAAAAAAAATGTTTAGGAACTGGGAAGCTGTCAAGCTCAGGAAGGCGGAAACAAGTTTTCCAAAGTCTTAGTTTTTACTTGTTTTCTCAAATTTTATCAGTAGAAACAAATATTGTCAGTTGTTTTACTTGAAATCACAGTTTTACTCATTCACTTTCAAGAAAATGTCTGCCAGATCTGAATAACCACCGTTTGTCTGTCACTCAGTCTTTGATGTAAAAACAGCATTCTATGAAATAAAGTGGCTAGTTCAGCTGGCAACTCAAGTGACTGCACAAGGGTTTTTCCTCAAGACAACCATCATATCTGGTACTCAGCAGAAGTGTTTTATCACAGAGAATACTGAAAAGGTATGTTCTCAAGGTTGAGATTTAACAAAATTATTTTTACTTATTCTTAAAGGTGATACTTAAATGGATATGGTTTTTTGTTTATTTTTGTGGCTCTTTGTTTTACTGTGAGTGCATGGGCATGAAGAATACAATAGGGTTTCCAGCTACTGTCTTGACTTAGGCTTGATTCAGCAGTTTTACCCTTCATGGTTTTTGTATCATTACTGTAAATCTCATCCAATGAAAAAGGTAAAAGGTGTCCTAGTATTTGCATAGAGAGTTTAGACCCCCAGAAGTTTATGAGCCACACTTCAGAAACCACTGATGTAAGTACCACACCCTCTGATTAACCCAAGGCAGTGTCAGGGTAAGGAAAGGAAAGTTCATGTTATGTCCCCAGAGTTGAACCAGCTTTATTTTCCTTTACCACATTTCTGAATGAGGAAACAAAGACTGCTCAAATCAAACATACTCTCCTTTACCCTCCCAGTCTTCTGAGGCAACACTTCCCAACCTTTTCTAAATTGTGGCAGGGAGAGAAAACAGTAATAGTTAAAGAATAAAGGGATGAAGCCCTGGCTTCATCTTGCACCTGGAGGTGCAAGAGGGCAGAGGGCCAGCAGCTGTACCATTCCTACTGGTATGCCAAGGCATGTGAGCTGGACAGTTCTGCACTGACATTCTCAGCACAGGGGGCTCTCAGGACTGAGGGCCTTTATTTCCCAGCCAGCTTCATGCTCACAAAAGTCTCAGAGCTTAGCTCAGATGTGGAAATTCACAACATGCCAATCTTCACAGCGGAAGTCTAATTTCTATTAATGATTTGAAGCTTGTCCAGACCATTTTCAGAGATAATGTAAAAAAGAACACAGAATCTGGCTGCAAAACTGCCAATGACTTGAAGCACTGGCTTTGCCACTTACAAGCTGTATGACCTTGGGAACATAATCCAACATCTCACTGCTTCAATTTCTCTCCCTATAAAACAGGGACAATAGTGTGTATCTACTGTAAGTATCAAGTGAACTAATTTATAAAAGGTGCTTAGAGTGATGCCTGATGAATGGTTCTGTTAGCAGGTGGTGTGGGGTTTCCTAACTGAGCATGACAGTGTTGAATTACAGACTGGCAAAGAAAGAATCTTGGAGATTACAAGATGTTAACCTACAGGATTGCAAATCTGAGAGACTGTACTTGGAACAGTGAGGGAAGAGGTGTGTAAAGGGCAAAGTGCCAGGGTCTTTTTTATTTTACTTAAGGCATATGTAAGGACTTCTAGCTGAATCCTTCTTTTACTTTATCATGACACCAATAGAGCCTGGCATGGTGGTGCACACCTGTAATCCCAGCTACTCTGAAGGTGGAGGTAGAAGGACTTCAAGTTCAAGGCCAGTCCTGGCAATGTTAGTGAGCCTGTATCTCAATAACAAAAGGGCTGGGGGCTACTTGGAAGGCAGAGATACCATGGGGTGAGGGGCAGGAGGGAGAATCCAGGCAAAAGTACAAAACTATCTGAAAAATAAAATAGAGTAAAAATAACTAGGAGTGTGGCCCAAGTGCTAGAGCGCTTGCCTAGCAAATGCAAGTATGGGGCCTTTCATTCAAACCCCAGTACCACAAAAAAAAAAAAAAAAAACAAAAACAAACAAACAAAAAAAACAAAAGAAAGAAAGAAAGAAAGAAAAAAAGGGCTGGTGGAATGGCTAAAGTGGTAGAGTGCCTGCTTAGTAAGCATGAGGCCCAGAGTTCAAGCCCCACTACTGCCAAAAACATACAAGCAAACAAAAGTGGGGGGGGAGGGTGGTGGTTCAAGTGGTAAAGTACTTGCTCAAAGACCCTAGTTTCAACTCCAGCACCACATACACACAAAAATACTAATAGGTGAGTTTCCAACTAATATATTTAAAAATCTATAAGTTAATTATTTTTCCCTTGGGTAGGCCCATGGCTCAAAAATAATCATCACAGACTGTTAAGTCATTTGCTCCTCACCAAAGGCTTTTTCTGTGATGATGTCAGTAGTGGTGGTGGTTGTGTGGATGTCAGCCTCCCAGAAAACTCGCTTAGGCAACCCAAAGTTGGGACTGCCTCAGTCACACCACATGCTTGCCGCTTTACCTGAGGTTGGATGTATTTTATTTCTTTACTGAATGTTTTTTGGGAACTATGTAGCCTAGCTCATAAGATCATTACAAGTCATGAAGAGCTTTGGGCTGCATGTGAAGCTGAATGATTTCAAAGATCCTCTTTATGAAAGTATTCAAAATCTGAATTGCCACAATTGTAAGGCTGCAAAAAAAAAATGCAAAATCATCATAACAAGAAAATAGTCACAAATGAACTGACCGCTTAAAAATGTAGCCCTTCCTCAGGAACTGACTCTGTCCCGCAGGTCAGTGTCTTTGTGGATCATTCAGAGCTTGTGTGAGATAGTAAACGCCTTACAATTAGAATGTAGAGAAAGGGCAATGTTAGTCCCACACTGAGGAGCTGCCCAAGCTGAAAAAGGAAATAATCATCAGGACAAGGGCACTACGAAAACAATTTAAATTTTTATAATTTAAAAGAGGATATTAAGAAAATGGATGTAATCCTTAAATGTTTTCACAAAAATGATTACCAAATCATGAAGTAAGGGATGTAATAGTTTATCATCCTAGAATTATGTCAAGAAGGTTATACCAAAAGTAAACAGAAATCTCTTAATTGTTTACTCTAAGTATTTACTTCACAGTTGTTATTATAATCCATATTTTTATCAAATGAGATAAAAGTGACATGTTTATAAGTGCTATTTTCATTTTTCAAGATTAAATCCCAAGCAACTTTTATACAGTAAACAGACTATGAAGGTTTGGGTCCCTAAGTAGCTTTTGTCTGATATGAAGTCTTTTGAAATAATGAGCCTATATTTAAAAATATAGATAAATGCTCAGTACCTGTTCCAAGAGAGTTCTCGTGCCTCCTTCCTTAAGATTTAACAGCTCTGCCCTTTCCCTGCCCTCAGCAGGTGACCTTCTACAGAAGAAGGAAGAGCTTCACCTTTGGATGCATAGATTATTCTCAAGTGTATTTCTCTGGCAAAGTGAGTAACACTTAAGTGTAAGCCTTAATATAATTCTGTCTGGATTTATTATTATTAGATTATCAGGATCTTCATGAGATAGGATTGACCCAGTAGCAGACTGAAGGGTCCATGTCAGATAGAATGGGATCACTGACAGGATAGCATTACCATCCTGTCAGTGGACCCTAATTGGTTCTGCAGTGCTAAACAACTGCAGATTGGCTTCATCTCTCTGTTTGAAAAATTATAAATTTATGCTTGCTAGAAGTAAGTCACTAGCTTTTAAGAAAAGTATTCGTGAAATGGCTGGCAGGTATAAGTAAGAACTTTCTCTTCCCCCTTACTGCAAAACAGCTCTTCTTTTTATATAAAGTCAGAGACCAGGAAATTATGCTCAATTGAGGAATGATGCTTAAAGTTATACTTAATTTTGATTTGCTTCTCTCAAGATTGGTAAATATACTGAATATTCATAAGTACGAAGAAGTCCAGAAGGCTGAAAAGACAGAATTCATCTCTATAACAAGTCTGTGATGAAAGTCTTTCTTATTTATATGAATGTATGTATGTATGTATGTATGTATACATTATCTGTAGAATATTATTTATAATACAGGACAGATGTCACAGTTTTGGAAATTCACTCCCTTTGACCCTGATCCAAACAGGTCAGATATCATGGTAGAGCAGATGGGTGATGAACAAGGAGAACTGATATTTTTTTATGTCGTGCTTCCTCCATGAAGTAATCATGGTATTACTTTATCTTCCTTTTTTCAATATACTAACTTCACCTTGAATTTTTTTAAATCCTCATGTATGATTTTTACAAAATTGTCTTTACTGATTTTATTTTTGCTTCCAGCAACAATTGACAGTTTTTTCTGCATTTCTAATTTTTGCTTTAGAGCCTTTCTAAGAGCAAATTTTGTGCCAATCTTATAAAAAGCACATGACAAATATAAATGAGTATTTCCCTTAGTGAGACTTTTATATCAGTCCCAACTCTGTGAATTGTATTTTAAAATGTGAAACAGGCAGAGAGGAGAACATGAAGTATTTTAACATGTGAAAAGGCCAAAGAGTCTGGACGTGCCTGGATACTTACTCTCTCACACAGCTCTTCAAATGTGCAGTCGGCAACGGTTCCACAGGCTTTATTCAGCCGTAGCTCTCTGCCTTGCACTTTTAGAATCCTTGGTCTAGTTACTATGGGAACATGAACAAAGACTCAATCTTGTCTGGATAATTACTATAAAATTCATCTCTTACAGATAGGAAATGCATAGCTTGATGAATAATAGCACATGATTCAACACATAAATTAGACAAAATGCTGATACAATGACTGCCACTTGAGCGTGGCATCAACCCATATACAGCAATGGAACTTATTAATTGGTCAGTGGAGATTGGGCATTGTGTTCTAAATGTATTCTCTTTCAAGAGAAATTAACTTACGTACAATCATTTTGTTTCTGAGCCAGCTCATCAAACAACTTATCCATGACAGCCTCCACATCAGCTTCACTTGTGCTACAGTGAAAAGAATAATAGAATATGAAATTAATAACACTTGAAGCCAACATCAAACAGCTGCCTGAGCCTGCTTAGCTTTTTGCCCATAAAAAAAGAGAACAGGATGTTATGCTCTAAATACAAACATTAGATTTAGAATACACTTAAAAGCAGAGAATATTAACTCTCAGGTAGATGATTCTGCCTTATTTGCATACACTGAAAGACTTCTGTGCTTCTAGCTGTTTCCAGTAATGAGACGATGCAGGCAGAGTAAATCCATTAATACTATGTGTACACAATGAGAAGAAAGCTTCTGGCTCTCTCTTGCATGCAAAACAAGAGCAAATAGACAAGGCAGTCAAGCATCCAGCAAAGTATCCTTTGAAATCTCTACTAAGAGGGTACACGTGAAATTAAATATTGAAGCTGCTTTAAAAAAAAAAAAAGAAAGTAAAAGAAAAACCAAGTCAAGCTACTGACTGAGAGGATCAAACATCCAGAATTACTAGCTTCATAATATCAACTTGATCTGCGCATCAATAACTTTATCAGACTTCTGTAATTCTGAGGACTTATGTAAGCATAGACTTCTATAAGCATAGGGCAATTATAGATCACACACTTTCTGTCAAAAGTGTTCTTGTTGGAAATTCCAGAAAACTCTCTCTGTGGTGCCCACCATCATAGTTATTACAAAGTTAATCTCATCACACAATCTTTTGTATTCTAATTAGAAATCACCATATGGTTGAGGGAACCCACATACAGAAATGTGATAATGCTATGGCCTTTTTTCTTCTCACTTTTTTTTTAAAGAGGGGTTGATAAATTAACAGTCAATAAAATAAAATAACTAGTTAAAGAAAGAAATGCCGTTTAAAAAAATTTTAAGTGAAAATGTAAGTTTACTCCAATTCTAAATAAAAAATTATACAGGATGACCTGCCAATATGCTTAATTTTGACACATAAATCACTCCTAAGTACTTGGGGAAGCAACTGAACTAGATTCTGGACATCTACTGTAATAAAGTCTTATTAAAGATTCATTTAACAATACTATTTTTTAAGATTAAGCTTAAACAAAACTATTCTGTCTTGAGATAATTATCAAGTGGCAGACATTTAACATGAAACATCTAGTTCTCTGACTCCCCCATAGTAAATGTCTTAAAAATGTAACAAAGTACAGAGTCATAGGAAGAACCTGGAACTGTCATATTCCAAGTAGTAACCACTGCCACAATGGATTTTTTTTTTCATTTTTCTTTTATTATTCATATGTGCATACAAGGCTTGGTTCATTTCTCCCCCCTGCCCCCACCCCCTCCCTTACCACCCACTCCACCCCCTCTCGCTCCCCCCCCTCAATACTCAGCAGAAACTATTGTGCCCTTATCTCTAATTTTGTTGTAGAGAGAGTATAAGCAATAATAGGAAGGAACAAGGGTTTTGCTGGTTGAGATAAGGATAGCTATACAGAGCATTGACTCACATTGATTTCCTGTGCATGGATGTTACCTTCTAGGTTAATTCTTTTTGATCTAACCTTTTCTCTAGTACCTGTTCCCCTTTTCCTATTGGCCTCAGTTGCTTTAAGGTATCTGCTTTAGTTTCTCTGCATTAAGGGCAACAAATGCTAGCTAGTTTTTTAGGTGTCTTACCTATCCTCACCCCTCCCTTGTGTGCTCTCGCTTTTATCATGTGCTCATAGTCCAATCCCCTTGTTGTGTTTGCCCTTGATCTAATGTCCACATATGAGGGAGAACATACGATTTTTGGTCTTTTGGGCCAGGCTAACCTCACTCAGAATGATGTTCTCCAGTTCCATCCATTTACCAGCGAATGATAACATTTCGTTCTTCTTCATGGCTGCATAGAATTCCATGCCACAATGGATTTTAAAAATACCATTTGCAATGGTTAACTTTGTAAGGGAAATGCTATTTTACTTTCATAAAGCATGTATGACATTTGAATAGTTGTATTAAAATAACTAGATGATACTACAGAAATGATTACAGAGATGTAAAATTAGATTTAAAGTGTATTAAGAAATCATACAAGCCAATGTAAATGTCTATGCCCACACCAACTACAGATATGTTTCGATATCATTCTTAAGAATTCATTTGGAACCATTTCCACCTTGCAATGAATGTACACAAACAGAGTCACTGGAGAATTTCAATATTCACTTTTAATGCACATACACACACAGGAGAGAGTAATGGTAGCCACCTAGCATATCTGTTTGCTTTTATTAAGTCAAGCTCTCCTTAAGCTAGGCATGTTACTCACTATAGTAGGAAAACTAAATTCTGAAAAATAATCCAGACAGATGACAGTTAGGCCTCCAGAACTTACTTGGTGGTGATTTCTTTTTCACTCTGTGCTCTTGTATAAAACATTATTACCACGTGGCTCAACAGACTATTTTCAAAACACATCTTCTAAGTCATCTGTGAAACTACTGTATGTTATCACAAACAGTAAAATTGTATGTGAAATAACAAAAAATTATTGTTAGCATTTTTTATTTTGGTTTTTTTTTTTTGAGACAGGGTCTTGCTCTGTATTACAGGCTGGCCTCAAACTCATGATCCCCCTTGCCTCAGCCTCCTGAGTGCTGAAATTACTGTTAAGCATCACCACACGTGATACAAAATTATTTTTATTTATAACTTGTCTTATAAGATTTCAATTATATTATCACAAACCCAGAAGTTACAAAATGTAAAATATAAATTTTATTGATGTTTAGTAGTGTAAAAATAAAAGCAGTCCATGTAAGTTACAACTGTTATCCATCTAAGTTGAATTGCACTTGGTTTCTAGGAGTTCTATCAACATAGGACAGAAACTTCATATTATCTTAAAAGCAAGAGGGGCTTGTGCATAGTTTTGGGCTTTTTTAGGCTTATCTATACTGATATAAAATAAATAAGGATATTGTAAAAGGAATCTTATTTTCAAAATTCCTTACCAAATAACTTGTAAGAAACACTAGTCTTCTCACACTCCATCTAGACTTCAGGTTTACCTACTTAACACGATATATTCATTGGAGTTCATTAAATTTTTTTAAGGAGGAGAATTAGAAAAATAAAGAGAAAAATATAAGCCTGTCTATATTTAATTGTTATGTATTTTCATAGCCAATTTAAAACATCTCTAGATACAGTTTATACTTCCAGTAAAAATTTTAGATGAGTCTAAACTATTTCAGTGTGTCACACAAAGAATAACAAAAGGTATCATTTGTTGAACTACATGTGACTAACTTACCAATGCTTATAACCTTACCATGTACGTTATATATCATTTCATTTTCACACTAAAGAAAACTGAGACTCAGAGAATTAAGTGACTTATCCATTCTAAATACATAAGAATTAAATTTTCTGTATAACAGAAAGTATTATAGAAGGTTTTTTGCTTTTTGCAGTGCTAGGGATTGAACCCAGGGCCTTGCACAAGTGCTCTACAACTGAGCTACATCCCCAACACAGAAAGTGCTATAAATAAAATGAATAAGGCATTACCAAATGGAACAGGAGCAACATTTATGGCATAGATTAGTATTATCAACAGATAAAAAAGTTAATGTCCCTATAGAAAAACTACTAAAGGACTCAAACAGGCTAATTATATAAAAAGATAGCTCAAGAAGCATCTGTGAAAATCATTCATTCTTACCAGTAATAACAAATGCACTGGAATTCCTAGCCAGAGCACTTAGGCAAGAAGAAGGAATAAAAGGAATACAAATAGGTAAAGAAACTGTCAAAATATCCCTATTTGCAGATGACATGATCCTATACCTTAAAGACCCAAAATACTCTACTCAGAAGCTTCTAGACACCATCAATAGCTACAGCAAAGTAGCAGGATATAAAATCAACATACAAAAATCATTAGCATTTCTATACACTAATAATGAACAAACTGAAAAAGAATATATGAAAACAATTCCATTTATAATAGCCTCAAAAAAAAAATCAAACACCTAGGTGTAAACCTAACAAAAGATGTGAATGACCTCTACAAGGAAAACTATAAACTTCTGAAGAAAGAGACTGAGGAAGACTATAGAAAGTGGAGAGATCTCCCGTGCTCATGAATTGGTAGAATCAACATACTAAAAATGTCTGTACTCCTAAAAGTAATCTACATGTTTAATGCAATTCCCATCAAAATCCCAATGACATTCATCAAAGAGATTGAAAAATCTACCGTGAAATTTATATGGAAACACAAGAGGCGACGAATAGCCAAGGCAATACTCAGTCAAAAGAACAACACTGGGGGTATCATGATACCCAACTTCAAACTACATTACAAAGCAATAACAATAAAAACAGCATGGTACTGGCACAAAACCAGACATGAAGACCAGTGGAACCAAACAGAGGACCCGGATATGAAGCCACAGAACTATAACCAACTTGTCTTTGACAAAGGCGCTAAAAATATACGATGGAGAAAAGAACAGACTCTTCAACAAAAACTGCTGGGAAAACTGGTTAGCAGTCTGCAAAAAACTGAAACTAGATCCATGTTTATCACCCAATACCAGTATTAACTCAAAATGGATCAAGGACCTTAATATCAGACCCAAAACTCTACAGTTGGTACAGGAAAGAGCAGGAAATACTCTGGAATTAATAGGTATAGTTAAGAATTTTCTCAGTGGAACCCCAGCAGCACAGCAACTAAGAGATAGCATAAGTAAATGGGACTTCATAAAACTAAAAAGCTTCGGCTCAACAAAAGAAACGGTCTCCAAAATGAAAAGACTACCTACAGAGTGGGAGAAAATATTTTCCAGCTACACATCAGACAAAGGACTGATAACCAGAATATATAGGGAACTCAAAAAACTAAATTCTCCCAAAACTAATGAACCAATAAAGAAATGAGCAAGTGAACTAAACAGAACTTTCTCAAAAGAAGAAATTCAAATGGCCAAAAAACACATGAAAAAATGCTCACCATCTCTAGCAATAAAGGAAATGCAAATTAAAACCACGCTAAGATTCCACCTCACCCCTGTCAGAATAGCCATC